ACCTGCACCTTGAATTGGGCTCGGAAAATAAACGGTAGGAAGGGGTTGGAATGGATGTCTCCTAAAGGACATCCTTCATGGCAGGAAGGGGTTGGAATGGATGTCCTTTAGGAGTCCCTTCCAACTCTGGGTTTCTATGGTTCTACAGGCCTTTTTCTCCATGAACCAGGCAAATTGATGAGGCTGGGTGGTCATCTGTCAGGAGGGCTTTGATTGTGCTTTTCCTGTCTGGCAGAAGGGGGCCGGACTGGATGTCCTTTGGGAGTTCCTTTGAACTGTAGGATCCTAGGATCCTACAGCCCTATTTCTCCACGAACCAGGCAAATCTATGAGGAAGGGGGGCCATCTGTCAGGAGGGCTTTGTGTCTTCCCTTAGGGCAGAAATCTGGGCTGGATGGCCTTTGGGGGTCCCATTGAACTCTTATTATTATTATTATTATTATTGTTATTATTATTATTATTATTATAGCAGAGTCAGGGTGGCCATTTGTCAGGGAGGGCTTTGATTGTGCTTTTCCTGTCTGGCAGAAGGGGGCTGGACTGGATGTCCTTTGGGGGTCCCATCAAACTCTATTATTATTATTATTATTATTATTATTATTATTATTATTATTATTATTACCAGGCCGCCCCCGCACACTGCCGTCTGGCTCCGCCATCGGTGAGGAAGGGGAAGGAGGGAAGGAAGCGGGAGAGGGAAGGAAGGACGGAAATGAGGGGAAGGGGTGTAAATAGCAAGGAAGGAAGGAAGGAAAGAAGGAAGGAAAGAAGGAAAGAAAGAAGAAAAGTGGGAAGAGGATGGGAAGGTGTAGGTAGGTAGGTAGGTAGGAAGGAAGGAAGGAAGGAAGGAAGGAAGGAAGGAAGGAAGGAAGGATAAGTTGAGAAGGTATATGAAACAAGCAAGGAAGAAAAGAAAGAAGAAAGGGAGAGAAGGAGGATGGGAAAGAAGGGAGAAAGGAAGGAAGGAAGGAAGGAAGGAAGGAAGGAAGGAAGGAAGGAAGGAGAAAGGAGGGAAGGGAAGGTGTATGAAGGAAGTAAGGAAGGAGAAGTTGAGAAGGTATATGAAAGAAGAAAGGAAGGAAAGAAAGAAGAAAGGGAGAGAAGGAGGATGGGAAAGAACGGAGAAAGGAAGGAAGGAAAGAAAGGAAGGGAGGGAAGGTGTATGAAGGAAGGAAGGAGAAGTTGAGAAGGTATATGAAAGAAGAAAGGAAGGAAAGAAAGAAGAAAGGGAGAGAAGGAGGATGGGAAAGAACGGAGAAAGGAAGGAAGGAAGGAAGGAGAAGTTGAGAAGGTATATGAAAGAAGAAAGGAAGGAAAGAAAGAAGAAAGGGAGAGAAGGAGGATGGGAAAGAACGGAGAAAGGAAGGAAAGAAAGGAAGGGAGGGAAGGTGTATGAAGGAAGGAAGGAGAAGTTGAGAAGGTATATGAAAGAAGAAAGGTAGGAAAGAAAGAATACAGAGAGAGAAGGAGGATGGGAAAGAAGGGAGAAAGGAAGGAAGAAGGAAAGGAAAGAAAGATAGAAAAGAAGAAGAAAGGGAAGGTGTCAAAAGGAAAGAAGGAAGGAAGGAAGAAAGGAAGGGGAATTTGGGAAGGGGAAGAGAGGGAAAAAAGCGAAGGAAGAAGAGAAAGAAAGAAAGAAAAGGAAGTCTGGAAGTCAAGAGCGAAGGAAGGAAGGAAAGAGATAGAGAGGGAAGAAAGGAGAGAAAGAGGAAGGAAAATAAAAAGGGAGGAGGAAGGAAAGGGAAGGGAGGAAAGACGGAGCAAAGGAAGAAGAGAAAGAAGGAGAGAAAGAGGGAGGGAAGAAAGAAATAAAGAGGAGGAAGGATGGGAGCAAAAAGCTAAGAAAGGAAGTAAACAGGTAGAGAAGGAAGAAAAAAGGAAATGAAGGAAGGAGTGAAAGAAGGAGAGAAAGAGGGAGAGAAGGTTGGCCACAGCAACGCGTGGCGGGTAAAGCTAGTTATTATTATAAAAGCAGAGTCGGGGTGGCCATTTGTCAGGGAGGGCTTTGATTGTGTTTTTTTCCTGCCTGGCAGAAATGGAGCTGGGCTAGATGTCCTTTAGGGGTCCCTTCCGACACTTAAGAATGGATGTTTCTATGTGGATCACAATGCAACTGCCTGGCTTCCCTTCCCGGTGTCTCTATTCTCAGGCAAACAATCCCTTTGTGAGAAGCCTTTCCTTTGGGCCTTCCCGGTCTAGGCACCTGCGGAGCTGGAAATGCCAGCGGAGTCTTTCCTTTTGTCTGCCTGCCCTTTCGGAAGGAGCGAGATAGATCTTTGCTGGCTCTCTTCTCTTCTTCCCTGCTGCTTCTTTCAGGCCGCTCTGTATACCTGGGCCTCTTTCCTGGGGCCTTGGGCCTCTCCTCCTTGAACCCCGAAACACCTCTCCAGGTATTCTTCACTTTTCGGGAGGAAGAAAAACAACCGCCACCAGGAGCCTGTCACTGAGAAGGAAACCAAATCCCTGAAGGGAGATGTTGACAAGAGGAGGGCGACTAAAATGATCAAGGGTCTGGAGAACAAACCCTATGAGGAGCGGCTCTATTCTGCCTTGGTTAAACCACACCTGGAATATTGTGTCCAGATCTGGGCACCATAGTTGAAGAGAGATATTGACAAGCTGGAAAAGTGTCCAGAGGAGGGCGACTAAAATGATCAAGGGTCTGGAGAACAAGCCCTATGAGGAGCGGCTCTATTCTGCCTTGGTTAGACCACACCTGGAATATTGTGTCCAGATCTGGGCACCACAACTGAAGAGAGATATTGACAAGCTAGAAAAGTGTCCAAAGGAAAGCGACTAAAATGATCCAGCATCTGGAGAACAAACCCTATGAGGAGCGGCTCTATTCTGCCTTGGTTAGACCACACCTGGAATATTGTGTCCAGTTCTGGGCACCACAGTTGAAGAGAGATATGGACAAGCTGGAAAGTGTCCAGAGGAGGGTGACTAAAATGATCAAGGGTCTGGAGAACAAGCCCTATGAGGAGTGGCTCTATTCTGCCGTGGTTAGACCACACCTGGAATATTGTGTCCAGATCTGGGCACCACAATTGAAGAGAGATATTGACAAGCTGGAAAAGTGTCCAGAGGAGGGCGACTAAAATGATCAAGGGTCTGGAGAACAAGCCCTATGAGGAGCGGCTCTATTCTGCCTTGGTTAGACCACATCCAGAATATTGTGTCCAGATCTGGGCACCACAGTTGAAGAGAGATATTGACAAGCTGGAAAAGTGTCCAGAGGAAGGTGACTAAAATGATCAAGGGTCTGGAGAACAAGCCCTATGAGGAGCGGCTCTATTCTGCCTTGGTTGGACCACACCTGGAATATTGTGTCCAGATCTGGGCACCACAGTTGAATAGAGATATTGACAAGCTGGAAAAGTGTCCAGAAGAGGGTGGCTAAAATGGTCAAGGGTCTGGAGAACAAGCCCTATGAGGAGCAGCTCTATTCTGCCTTGGTTAGACCACACCTGGAATATTGTGTCTGATCTGGGCACCACAATTGAAGACAGATATTGACAAGCTGGAAAAGTGTTATTAATAATAATAATAATAATAATAATATATAAATAATATACTATATATATAAATATTATATTCATAATTAATATTATATTCGTAATTTATATATATTATATATATTATATATATAGAATATTATATAATATTACTAGTAGTGCAAAACATATTATGCATATAAAAGTAATATTACACTATATTATATACGTTATATTATTCAATACTATTAATAGTATTACTTTTATATGCATAATATGTTTTGCACTAATAGTTATATTATAATATACTATAATTATTTAATAATAATGATTATAATCTATATAAATAAAAATGTAATGTTCGTTTGTGGGATTAACAGAACTCAAAAACCAATGGATGAATTGCCACCAAATTTGGACACAAGACACCTAACAACCCAATGTATGTCCTTCACTCAAAAAAATTGATTTTGTCATTTGGGAGTTGTAGTTGCTGGGATTTATAGTTCACCTACAATCAAAGAGCATTTTCAACCCCACCAACGATGGAATTGAACCAAACATGGCACACAGTTCTCCCATGACCAACAGAAAATACTAGAAGGGTTTGGTGGGCAGTGTCCTTTGGTTTTGGAATTGTAGTTCACCTATATCCAGAGATCACTATGGTCTCAAACAATGATGGATCTGGATCAAACTCTTCACAAATACTCAATATGCCCAAATGTGAACACTGGTGGAGTTTGGAGAAAATAGAATCTTGACATTTGGGAGTTGTAGTTGCCGGGATTTATAGTTCACCTACATTAACAGAGCATTCTGAACCCCACCAACGATAGAACCCCCACACAGAACCCCCATGGCCACCAGAGTGGGCCACAGCAATGTGTGGCAGGGGATGGCTAGTATTATAATATAAATAATATACTATATATATAAATATATTATATTCATAATTAATATATAAAATTCTATATATTATATGTATATAATATTATATTATATATTACTAGTAGTGCAAAAGATATTATGTATATCAAAGTAATATTTTAATAGTAATGCGTAATGTAACGTATATAATATATTAGTAGTATTATTATTAATAATAATAATTAGTAATAAAACCGTGTGAAAACCTCCAAGAGGAGGGGATGAGGGCCTCCCTCATAAGCACAGAGTTCTTAATGCAAGTGCTAATGTCCTCCAGAGGCGATAATTAGTGGGAAGCATTATTGATGAAGGATTACCGTTTGCCGGGCTCCGTCCTGGGCTGCTTTGCATTGGGCTCGGCTCTCTGCTGACGAACGGAATACATTTCCAGAAGAAAGGGAAGAGCAAGGGCGGGCTAATCCCTCCGTAATCCTTACCTGCCTCTGGAGGAAGGGGCAAAGGCTACCTGGGGGCCCCCAGCCCTCCTTTTGATCTGCAGGAAGTTGCCATCACAAGTTGCCAACCTGTTGCATTACAACACGCCTCCCTGTTTTGCAAACAACAGATACTTGCCTTCTGAAACACCTGGTAGTTGGACTTGGACCATATGTCAAGCTGCGGAGAGAAAAACAACACAGATCAGGATACATTTCATTATTCTAAAGCCATTTCAAAACAAGAGGGAGAAATTTCATTCCAACTTTTTACAAAGACTGGTTTGGCTAACAGGACAAACTCAGAGCAACAAACAACAACAGCATTTTATTACAGTCCATCTGTTATAGAACTCATATATGCCGATGATAATGTAGTCTGTGTGCATTCAGAAGAATCATAGAATCATAGAATCAAAGAGTTGGAAGAGACCTCATGGGCCTTCCAGTCCAACCCCCTGCCAGGAAGCAGGAATATTGCATTCAAATCACCTCTGACAGATGGCCATCCAGCCCCTGTTTAAAGGCCTCCAAAGAATGAGCCTCCACCACACTCCGGGGCAGAGAGTTCCACTGCTGAATGGCTCTCACAGTCAGAAGAAGATCTACAACATTGATTATAGAACTCCAATATGCCGATGATAACGTAGTCTGTGCGCATTCAGAAGATCTGCAACATTGGTCCACTTCTGAGCACAATTTAAAGTGCTGAGAGGAGATATGATAGACATGTATAAATATGTGAGAGGAAGTCACAGGGAGGAGGGAGCAAGCTTGTTTTATGCTTCCTTGGAGACTAGGGCACGGAACAATGGCTTCAAACTACAAGAAAGGAGATTCCATCTGAACATGAGGAAGAACTTCTTGACTGTGAGAGCCATTCAGCAGTGGAACTCTCTGCCCAACTCGATTCTGTGATTCTCTCTACACTCTCATTAACTTGACTCTCATTAAATCATCTTTAGACAGTTACTCAGAGAAAGACTGTGAAGGGCCTCTCCCAGGAATGTAACCTTCTGAATCTTCCTAAGACGGCTCGGGCCTTTTGTTTGAGCTTAACTCAGGCCCAGGCAAACCCTCATCTCCACTGGCAACAGACCCAGGTCCACCATGAGGAACATCATCCCTATTTCCATCACGAACATCAGACACAACCACAGGCTGACTTACAATCTGTCAGTGGTGCTTTGAATGTGACTGTCCTGCTTCTTGGCAGAATGGGGTTGGACTGGATGGCCCATGAGGTCTCTTCCAACTCTAGGATTCTATGATTCCATGATATTATTATTATTATTATTATTATTATTATTATTATTATTATTATTCCATTGGAATGATAAAGGAACTCTCTGCCACGGAGTACGGTGAAGGCTCCTTCTTTGGAAGCTTTTAAACAGAGGCTGGATGGCCATCTGTCAGGGGTGCTTTGAATGCAATATTCCTGCTTCTTGGCGGGGAGTTGGACTGGATGGCCCATGAGGTCTCCTCCACCTCTATGGTTCTATGATTCTAAGATCTACAACACTGATTATAGAACTCAAATATGCCGATGATCATGTAGTCTGCGCATTCAGAAGATCTACAACATTGGTCTACTTCCGAGCACAATTCAAAGTGCTGGTCTTGGCCTATAAAGCCCTATACAGCTCTGGCCCAGTTTACTTGTCCGAATGTATCTCCCTCGACGTTCAGCCTCACAGTTTAAGATCCATGTGGGGAGGCCCTGCTCTCAGCCCCACCGGCCTTGCAAACGCGTCTGGGCAAGGGACCGGGCCTTCTCGGTGGTGTTGGCTCATGTTCAACTTGTTGTCTACGAGGACCCCAAGATCTTTTTCACACGTACTGCTCTCGAGCCAGGCGTCCCCCAAACGACAGGAAAGAAAGGAGATTCCACCTGAACATTAGGAAGAACTTCCTGACTGTGAGAGCTGTTCAGCAGTGGAACTCTCTGCCCCAAAGTGTGGTGGAGGCTCCCAACATCTCCCTTCAATTGCGGTGCCCAGAACTGGATGCAGTGTGATTCCAGGTGTGGCCTGACCAAGGCAGAATACAGCATGGGGAGCATGACTTCCCTTGATCTAGACACTATAGAGGCCAAAATCCCGTTGGCTTTTTGTGCCGCCGCATCACATTCCAGGCTCGTGTTCCCCTTCCTCCCCACGAGGACTCTCGGATCTTTTTTGTAGAAAAATCATTGAATCCTTCAGTTGTGGTGCCCATCATCCAGAGATGATGCTTTCCTGTTTTGATCGGCCTCCTACGAATCCCACATCGGTGGCCAAATGTCTACGTTTATCCTTGGGTGCCTCTCGTTTGCAATGAAACGTTCAGATCCCGGAACAAATCGGCCTCCGACACTCCTTCTGACTTTGAACCGGGCCTTGACTTGGCCCACCCAGTCCGTCAGAACAGAAAGATGCAACCCCGCTGGGGTGATGATTCCTTGGCCGGGGATGGACACTCCTCACCTGTTCGTGGAACCCATCTGGGCTATGCTAATGCTTGCCTCCGCTAATGACTCTGCGTCGATATGGATGTACACACACATACACGAAAGGGCCGGTGTTTTCTGCCTCCCAGCGAAAGAAAGAGAGTAAGAAGGCGGCGGAGGAGGAATGATGGCGGAATCAAAGGGAAGCTTCAAAGCCGGCCCGAACTGTCTCCGGAGTCATTTCTGATCCCCGCATCCTCCCCACTTCAAAGCGGGAGGCGTCCGGGCGAAAGGGGGCCGCGCTTGCTTGGATCCCATCCCTCTAATAAAGGTTGGCACCGGCCCCGTTTGATATCGGGCGCCGGGAACGTTTTGATTCGTTTGGGCGCCTTTGAAACCGTTTCAGACGACCTTCAGGAAAAGCGGCCCGCGTGCTCCTGGCGGCCTGCGTCCCCCCTCCCCGCCTCCCCAATTCGCATGCAGAGGAGGGCCGCAAAACGGCGCGTTCAGCAGCTTTTTTTACCTCCTCGCGGTTACAAATGTGCGGCTTGATTGAAAGTGAAAAGTTGAAGAATAATAGACCTGCAAGAATGCATTGTTTAGCGCGCGCCCGCCTCATTCATCTGCCTTCCTTGGCAGAGAGCGCGGAGGGCCCTTGCACCGGGCTCCCGTTTTTGATTTTTCAAAACCTTGGAGAGCATTAGGAAAGCGCCAGGAATTGAATTACATGAGGCCTCTTCGGCCTCCAGCCCAAGGAATTACTGTTCGGCACTTGCGCTTGTTATTAATTTTATTCATTCCTTTCTTTCTTTTTTTCTCTCTCCATATGATTCAAGGGAAAGGACAAGAGGGAAAACAGAGAGACTTCGGCATTACGATGCCAGGCTCGTTAGCTTTGCAAGAACAGCCCTTTTCGGGAAGGGAAGAGCCTGTCGTACACCAGAGCAGAAACCCCGCTGACCTTCAACACCACACCCGCTTGGGAAAATCAGCAGAAGAATATATGTTGGCAAAAGAGTAAAATGAGCAAAAATGGCAAACTTCAAAAACAAAGAATACTCAATGAGCTTCAAGGTAAAACAACATCCTCACTACCTCTGAGGATGCTTGCCAAAGATGCAGGCGAAACATCAGGAGAGAATGCCTCTAGAACAGGGGTCCCCAAACTTTTTGAGCAGAGGGCCGGGTCACAGTCCCTCGAACTGTTGGAGGGCCGGATTATAATTTGAATAACAAAAAACATGAATGAATTCCTATCCACACCTCAAATATCTTATTTGTAGTGCAAAAAACACTTTAAATAATACAATAATAATACAATAATTATTACAATAATACAATAATACAATAATACAATAATAATACAATAATACAATAATTAAAATGAAGAACTATTTTAACAAATATAAACTTAGCAGTTTAGAATAAATATAAACCTAGCAGTTTGAAAACATGCAAATGTGAGTAGATCAATAGATACCGCTCCGGCAGGAAGGTAACGGCGCTCCATGCAGTCATGCTGGCCACATGACCTTGGAGGTGTCTATGGACAACACCGGCTCTTCGGCTTAGAAATGGAGATGAGCAGCAGAGTCCCAGAGTCGGACATGACTGGATTTAAGGCCTCCCCCCCCCCCCCCTTCTCCTGCCTCCGGGATGCGGCGAGGCCACATCCCGAAGGAGGAGAGGCTGGGCCCACGGAGGCGGCGGGCAAAGCAGGCCCAAGCCACCCCCGCCCCCCCCCCCTCTCCTGCCTCCGGGATGCATCCAGGACGCATCCCGAAGGGAGGAGAGGCTGGGCCCACGGAGGCGACGGGCAAAGCAGGCCCAAGCCACTTTGCCCGCCACCTCCCCTTCTTCGCCCGCCGCCTCCCTCCCCCTTCGCCCGCCTCTCACCCTTCTCCACAGCCCGCGGGCCAGATAGGTGCCCTCGGGAGGCTGGATCTGGCCCGCAGGCCGTAGTTTGGGGACCCCTGCTCTAGAACATGGCCATATAGCCCGAAAAACCTACAACAACCCAGTAAAACAACCTTCTTTGGAACAACAATCCATGAAACAAGACAGCATGAAAAATCCCGATACACAAACCAGGAGCTTCCCAAAAACTTGGTGCATGAAACTAAGAGCACTTGCGAGCAACGTCACTGAATTCCAACATTGGCCTGATTGAGGCAACTAATGTTTGTTTGTGGGATTAACAGAACTCAAAAACCACTGGACGAATTGACACCAAATTTGGACACAAGACACCTATCAAGCCAACGAGTGATCATCTATATAAATAAAAATGTAATGTTAGTTTGTGGGATTAACATAACTGAAAAAATCACTGGGCGAATTGACACCAATTTGGACACAAGACACTTATCAGGCCAATGAGTGACCATCTATATAAATAAAAATGTAATGTTTGTTTGTGCGATTAACAGAACTCAAAAATCACCGGTCGAATTGACACCAAATTTAGACACAGGACACCTAACAACCCAATGTATGTCCTTCACTAAAAAAAAAAAAAATGATTTTGTCATTTAGGAGTTGTAGTTGTACTTGCTGGGATTTATAGTTCACCTATAATCAAAGAGCATTCTGAACCATTCATAAACTGGGAGGCAAAAACTCGCGAAACAGCGAGTCCGCGAAAAGCGAACCGCGAAGTGGTGAGGGAACACTATATACCACCTTCAAAGTCTGTGCCTCACAGGGCGGCTCTTTCAGACATTGGTCCCAACAAGCTTCTTCATTCACGT